AAATTAAAAATATTAAAAAATATAAAGGCAAAAATTTTCTTTTTTCTTAAAAAAAAAAAAAAGTCAATCAGTTGAGTTTCATTTGGGCAGCCTATGTTACCTGAGGCTCACTATTTGTACGCTGATTTTGGTTCTCTTATTGGGTACTTCTGTATCAGCCAATGTCATGAGCTCTCTAAGTTTGGCTCAAGTGTCCTTAGGCAGTTGGGTGATCTGAGGCTCTCTGTGGACAACCCCCAAATGACAGCTATTTTGCCTTCCTCTTGTGGTCTCCTGGTCTTGCACCAGTGTATTCTGAAGGGTCTTTAGGGTGTAGGCCAGCTAGTGTAGCAGGATATATCTCCCTTTAATTAGAAGATTCTCTGTCAGGTTCTTTCTGTGGGGAAATTAGTACCTGCTTCAAAGCCAAGCCCTCAGTCTCTATTCCCCAATTCTATTTCTTCATATAGTGGCCTGCTGCAGTATCAGACTAACTTCAGTCTGTTGCCTTTTCTGTATGGGCAGTTTCAGCAGCCTGGGCTCAGTGGGTTCAATTTTTTAAAAAAATTCTGGTGAGCACTTTGCTTGCCGAGCCCCTAGAAGTCATTTTAAGGTTTTCCTCCAGGTCCCAAAGAATAATTCCTGAGAGATTTATTGTATTTTCATCCTGTGAGCTATTCCACATTCCACCTTAGGACTGAGTTCTGCTGGGGATATCTGGGGCTTCAGTGAACTGAATTGGCCCCTTTACTGTTGGGGTGGTGGTCCTAGCCTGCAGGAGAGGTAGGCATGCTCCACCCTTCTTTTATTTTTCTTTTTTTTTTTCCCCCACCCCACCCTTCTTTTCCCAGATCCAGTTGGTTGGTCATACACAGTGCTTATTTCAAAATCTCTGCTATGCAGACACAAACCCCAGCTTTTACTAGTATGTCTCCCCACTGCAAGCCAGGAAGGTAGATGCCTGTTCACCATTCAAAAACTGAAAAGCCTACAAATCAATACAGAAGCAGAGAACCTGCCCTACAAGTTCTTTTGGCCCCCATGCCTTGGTCCCAATCAGGAGGGGTAACAAAGTCAGCCCCATGCAGGTCTCCTGCACCACTGATCTCAATAAAACTGGGGCAGTCCCTTGGGCTCTATCCCAGCTCCCCACAATTGGGTCAAAAAAAACAGGCATCTCTGGCAGATGGAGTTCCAATCCACCCTTCTGATGGCTCTGGACCCTCTTTGGTGGTAGGAGTGCTCTCATTCCCTTCCCTGCACCATGCAGAACAAATGCTTTTTTGGGTTATACACAATGCCTTACAAGAAGGCAGAGGGTCCTTGTATGTGGCTGCTCCTCAGTGCAGTCCTCTGATCCCTTTTTATTCAGTACTCTTTCCCATTGCCAGCAACTGGAGTGAAGGAGACCTAAGCCCTATGCTGCCATAGGGAGGCCCAGTCTCCTCCTTACAGGCACACTGTTCCCCTGGGTCCCTCTGCCCTCCATGTGGGCTTCTACTTCCCTTATCATCTACTTTGGGTTTGAGATCCCAGCCTTTGGATGCTAGTCCACATTCCCAAGGGGAGGGAGCTTTGCAGCCTTTAACCACTGGTATTCAGAGCCCAGCACAGGCTTCATGGGGACTGCCCCTTTCTATGCCCCCATTTCTTTTACCAGACTTTATGAGGTTTCTTCAGTGCTCCCTACATGAAATATGTTCACTCAGGTATATTTCTGTGGTTTCCCCACACTGGTTAAACAGTATTTTAGCAGTAAATTAAGTCCAAGTGTGCTCTCCTTCTTGTCACAGTGCTGCCATCTCCCCAGCTCTGAGATTGTTTCTTAAGGTGTACCTCTGTACTTTACCTGTGTCATTTCATTTTTCACCCCATAACATATTTTATCTATTTGTCATAATTACTTATAATTACATTTCTAATTGGCTTAAAGAGAGAAAAAATAAACCAGAATGTGTACACTCATAAAAAGAACAATTTGCATTTCTATTTGCATTATTCAAAATCATCTTAAAATTGATGACAACCTTATACCAATAGTTTCAACTTATTAAAACTAAACGAAACTAAAGAGAAAAAATTTGTTAAAGAAATAATAATTATAACATCTTTAACTTATTTGTCTATAGTTTACTTGGTAGCTTTTAGAAAGAGTAAATAAATAAAAGGTATTCAATCTCACTTACCTCACTATAGGTCCTAAAAGCAAAATGTGTGCAAAAAGCAATACAGCCTTATTTCTAGTTGAGTCTTTGTAGAAAAACATAAGTGTAACTTGATCCAAAACTACTCCCACAACAATAAAGCCAATGGTAAATGACATCCAGAATATATCATTATTATTTCGATAAATTTCAAACATATACAAGGCAGAGGCAGCCTCACCACAGTAGAGAATAGTTGAGAAGAGAATACTAAATGGAAAGTTTACTTGGGCTCCCTGATCAAGGGCCATTCTTTCTCTCAGAGATGTAACTTTAGGTCTGCTCTCTTCATCAGGCTCTTCAAACACTGTCTCCATTCTTGAGGTACTAGCAATCCAGTTTCTCCTTCTTAAATACATATAGTAAAGGTTAATATTCAATCCAAATAGCAGTAAACAATTTAATAATCATTGAAAATGTAAATATAGGCAGCTAAATATAGACCACCAGTTATGACATAATACTACATCTGGTTTAGAGAATATTGAAATACACTATATAATTTGACCTATTCTTTAAGAAAACTTGTTATAAACAAATTGTTATTTTAGAAAAACTTAAAAATCAGAGAAGGCTTCATTAAGTCACAAGGTTCTTTTATTCTGAAAGTGTGTTTGCTCTAATATATCTAAGCTTACACTAAGCACCTAGATGTACTCCAAATGATGATCATTATTTTTTAATATTAAAACTTTCACTAACAATTGGCAATATTCTCCATGAAACCTAGAATGCAAGCTCTGTAAGTACATGGATTTATGTCTGTTTTGTTCTCAGAATTTCCAGAAATCTATATCTGATACCCTGCAATGTCTCAGTAATTATGTGCTCAATGAATTAAGAGAAAATAAAAATGAATGTAAATTGACCTTTTTTGAGAACATCGGTTCTCTCAAGCTATCTTCCTACAAGCAAACACTCTCAAATTTACAAAACCTACTCTGAGCTTTAAGTTTATTCTAAAAAGCATACTAGGCATAAATTCACTTATTTCATATCTTAATATTCTGTCCTAAAATTAAGCTGAGGACCTTGAAGCAGAAGAAAATACATTTTGTCCATATTCTCTATTTGTATTATGTTATAGATTTTGTAATATTTGGGAGCACATTTATATGCATTTGTTATAAATGATAAATTTTCCTATGATATCATCACCCCAATTTTTCCTACTTAACCTGAAAAACATACCTTCATTATTAATGGCAACTTTGATTTTAGCCCATATTCTTTTTCAGTTGTTCAAATCCCTGCTACTTTAGTGAGTGCAACCTGCAAACACATTCTCTTATATCCATACCTCTCAAACTCCAACCAAAATTTTGTTGTTTCCTTATTGATATATAATTCACATACCATAAAACTTACCCTTTCAAAGTGCACATTAATTTTCAGGATAATTACAGAGTTGTGCAAACAGACCAGTATCCAGACATAGAGCATTTCATCACCTTAGAAAAGAAACTTGATACCCATTAGCAATCAACCCCATTTTCCCCCTTTCCCAGCCCTTGGAAATCACTAATATATTTTCTGTATAATAGATTTGCATATTCTTGACATTTTCTATAAGTGAAATGATAGAATATTTAGCATCTTCTTACTAATAGCCTTTTGTTGTGGATGATCTTCGAGAATGTTTACATAACAAATAGTCATAAAGGTAAATATAGTATGTCTTTCTGTGGCAGAAAATATCTGTTAGCTTCTTTTAAAAGACCAGAGTTTATGAAGTGTGGAATTTCCCAGCAATGACATGAAAACTGCATGTGCAGCATCAACCCAGATCAAACTACACACACTCCCCTGCTGCTCTTCATACAAGCAAGCATGTTGCTAACCTGTAATACTCTTCACAGTGGTTGGTATGAACTGAAGTTCTTCTACCTGTCAAATTCTTAATTTCATAACAATTCCATCTGCACTTTTGATCCAGTCCTCTGAAAATCATTCAATGCCAATGAGTGCATTATACAACAATAATTACCATATTTAGATGAACATTTCATCCAATTAGAAAATTCTGCCACATATTAGCTTTATTTTTATTCCTTCATGGAATTATAGACTTTCAGCTAAACAAACAAAAATAAAAATTCTTAATTTTTTCACTTCCTTTCCAAATTCCCTTTCAAGACTAATGTTCAATCTCTAAAATCTGTTTTCTACCCCATAGCTATTGAATCTCTTCTGATAAGATAAACTAAAAATAAATGACATAAAATAACTTAAGGAAGTCATTGAATTGAATATTTAGGGAGAGAGTGAGCAGAAATATGACTGAAAAAATACAGAAAGGAAAATATAAAGCTTCAATGTGATGTAAAAATAATTTGTATTTAATTTATCTTGAGTTAACTTTTGTACATCAGACAAACAGTAGCCTAGTTTTATCCTTTTGCATGAGGGTTTCCAATTTTCTCAGGGACACTTATTGAAGAGGATTTATTTTCATTGGAAGTTTTTGTTGAAAATTATTTGCCGATATACATGTGTGTTTATTTCGGAGCTCTTAATTCTGTTTCATTAATCTGTGTATCTGTTTTTATGACAAAATCATGGTGATATTTATCTTTTTTTGAAATTATTGGGGTACATTGGATAATAAAATTATACAAATATCAGATATATAGTTCTACAATTAAATAATGGGCATAGGACTGAAATAGGCACTTCTCCAGAGGACACACCAATAGCCAATAAACATATGAAAGGTTGCTCAACATCACTAATCATAAGGGAGAAAGATGCAAATTAAATTTCACACCTGTTAGAATGGCTATCATAAGCAAATCAACAAAAACAACTGATGGCGAGGCTGTGGAGGAAAGAAAACCCTTGGATACTGCTGGTGGGAATGCAGACTGGTACAGCCACTGTGGATAGCAGTATGGAGTTTCCTCAGAGTATTAAAAATGGACTTGGCTAGGTGGTTCATTCAGTTGTAGCATTGGCCCGCACACCAAAATGTTGTGGTTATGATTCCTTGTCAGGACACATACTTAGGTTGTATGTTCAGTCACCTGTTGGGTTGCATATGGGAGGCAAGCAATCAATGTTTCTCTCTCTGTCTCTGTCTCACTCTCCATCCCTCTACTTCTAAAATCAATAAACATAGCCTCAGATGAGAAAAAGAATAAATAAAAATGGAAATTCCTATGAGCCAGTACATTTGAAAGTGAAGTTCTCTTCCTACCACAAATATTAATAATTTTATTTCTCTATTTGTACCTGATATTTTTGGTAACAGGCTTAAGACAGAATTCATATATCATGTATTAAACCTGCAGAAGTGTACAATGCAGGAGGGTATTAGTATGTTCAGAGTTATGCGGCTATTATCACAGTCACTTTAAGAACATTTTCATGACTCCAAGGAGGTTCATTTTACCCATAAGCAGTCATTTCAGTTTTTTTCCCCTAATCCAATCCTTTGAATCCTATGATACCACTAATGCAACTTGTGTTCCTACACATTTTCATCTTCTAAACATTTTTAAAAACCACAAAATATATGGTCTCACATAACTCCTTTTGAAATGCATAATCTTTTCAAGACTCACCCATATTATATACTAAACTCTATAAATAACTTTTTCGAGACCCAATAATAATCTACTGTACAGATATTTCATATTTTCTTTGTTTACAAGTTCATAAGCATTTCATTGTTTCCACCATTTGGGCTATTGTGAATAATGCTGCTATTAACATTGCCACAAGAATTTTGCATGGATACATGTTTTCATTTTTTGTGTGAAATTGTATGTAATATGTTACTTATACTAGATCTTTTAAGGAACTAGGACTGTTTTCTAAAGAAGCTACTCCATTTTACCTTTAACTGTTCATGGATGAAAGTCCTGATATTTCACCAATATTGGTTTTTATTATCTTTAAAATTGTTATTATAGTTATTCTAAACAGTGGGAATTATTGGTCTTTGTCTGTATTTCTTTGATGACATATAATTTTGAGAATCTTTTCAAGTGTGTATACTCCTTGAAGAAATGTCTATTACCTCAATTGCTCATATTTTCCTTTTGCATTTTTCTTTTTAAATATTAAGAATTCTTTATATGTTCTAGATGCAAGTTCTTATCAGACATATGATGTACTTACATTTTTCTTTCATATTGCTGATTGTCTTTTCACTTTATTTTCTTAATCCTCACCCAGGGGTATATTTTTATATATTTTTAGAGAGAGAGGAAGGAAGGAAGGAAAAGAAAGAAATATTGGTTGCATCCCAAGTGGGCCCCACCCAGGCATGGAACCCTAAATCTAGGTATGTGCCCTGGCTGGGAATCGAATCCACAATTTTTGGTGTATGTGCCGACACTCCAAACAATTGAGCCACCTGGCAGGAGCTCTTTTCACTTTCTTGTTTTCTTTAAAAAACAAAAATTTAATTTTACCAATATATAGATCATGTATGATAGAAATAAATATACATTTGAACTGTATATTACCTTATTAACCGATGCCACACCAATACATTTAATTTAAAAATTAAAAAGTTTTTTTCATTAGATTCCAAATATGAGTAAAATCTTATGGTCCTTGACTTTCTCTGGCTGGCGTATTTCACTTAGCATAATAGTTTCTGTATCCATCCATGGTGTCAAAAACAGTAAAATTTCTTTCCTATTTACAGACTAGTAATATTCTATTGTGTAAATGAGAACTAGAAACACACACAGACAGAGCATGGGAAAGCTGCTGGGGGTAAGGGAGGGATATGTTGGGTGAAGGCTGAGGGGCTGTGCAAAAAAATCCCAAAAAACCAAAGGGATAAAAAACTCATGGACACAGACAACAGTGTGACGATACTGGAGTGAGGGGATTTGGATAGGAAATAGAAGAGTATATTGTGCAATAAATGGGGTGAATGAAAACTAGACTTGGGTTGGTGAACATACAATACAGTGGACAGATGATGTGGAGTTGTGAATTTGAAACCTCTATAATTTTGTTAACCAGTGTCACCACCATAAGTTCAATAAAAAAGAAATATTAAAAATCAAAGTTATAATAAGATCTATACCAGGTAAAAAATTTTAAACAAGCCATGTGCCATGTTGATATTCACTAAAGTAAAACTGAAGAGAATGCACTTATAAATACAGAAAAGAAATGCATCTATAGTAATATTTAACTAAATGACATATTTTATAATACAATTAATAAAAAATTTAATAAATAAAATTACTAAAGAAACACAAACAGTACCTTAACAAGCTCAGTTTATGATATATAAGAAAACAAAGGTTAGTAATATTAGTGAGCTGTGATGTTTTTAAAAGATTAATTTTAA